TGTTAGCATCTCTCTGTGTCTGTTAGCATCTCTCTGTGTCTGTTAGCGTCTGATGGTGTTTGTTAGTAGATTTTGCTACGTTCTGTTAGCATCTGGTAGCCTCTGTTAGTATCTGTCGGTGTCTGTTAGCTTCTGTAACTCATTGAGCAGACACTTGCTGCAGCTCATCAGTAACTCTGGCTAATTTCAGGTGCAGCATGCTCTGAAGAAGTCCGATGCTGCTTTAGAGACTTTGAACCGGGCCATCGGAATCGACCCAAAGAATCCTCTCTGCAAGTTCCACCGAGCATCTATCCTGTTTGCCAATGACAAGTACAAGGTAATCAAAACTCACAGGTACTGGAAGTTAGAACCAATAATTGCATGTTGAGCAGCACCAGAACCCGTCAGTAAGTCACTCAGTCTTTACAGTAAAAAATACATAAATAAGAATTTAAAAAGGGCAGCACGGTGGCGCAACTGGTAGAGCTGCTGCCTCTCAGCGAGCAGGTCCCTGGTTCAAACCCCGGTCCAGAGGCCTTTCTGGGTGGAGTTTGCATGTTCTCTCCGTGCATGCGTGGGTTTTCTCTGGGTGCTCCAGTTTCCTCCCACAGACCAAAAACATGCATGTTAGACTGATTGGTAACTAAATTGTCCCTAGGAGAGAGAGAGAGAGTGAATGTTTGTTTGTCTCGTTTGTCTCTATGTGTCCCTGTGATGGACTTGCGACCTGTCCAGGGTGTACCCCGCCTCTCACACAGTGATTGCTGGACATGGGCACCAGCGACCCCCGTGACCCAAAATGGAATAAGCGGGTAAAAGATAATGATGGATGGATGGAAGAATTTAAAAAGTCTGGCTGAAAATAAATACTTTGCTGAAAATCAAAATCTGCCGCGTTTTTCTAACAGTCTAAACAGATCGTGTAGTTGATCTGCAGCTGCCTAAAAGGATTGAAATCCTTGACCCAAAACCATCTATTTCCTCTGACCCTGTTTCCATGACAACCTGTCTCTCTCTCTCTCTCTGCAGGCGGCTCTTCAGGAGTTGGAGGAATTGAAGCAAATCGTTCCCAAAGAGTCTTTGGTTTACTTCCTCATAGGAAAGGTAAGTGGCTTCTGTCCACTCAGGTGACTGAGGTCACAGAGACACAAGAGCACAGATGACAGAGCTGTTAAGTCAGTGACCCTGGAACAGAACCAGGTGTTGGTGTAGCGACAAACTCTGCAACCCACAACGGGTCAGAAGTCCAGTTAGAGTAGTATGCATGTTTGAGCACAACCACATTTCAGCTTCATAATTTCTCTCTTCAGTATGATGTAGTTTACCTGTAAGACTAATAACACCCCACACTTGACCCCCAGGTGTATAAGAAGCTGGGTCAGACCCACTTGGCTCTGATGAACTTCAGCTGGGCCATGGATCTGGACCCTAAAGGAGCCAACAACCAGATCAAAGAAGCCATCGATAAGAGATACCTGCCCGAGGATGAAGGTACAGCCACAGATCAATCAGTTTGATCAGTTCACATTCACGTATGACATCAGACTGATAAAGATACGACCACAGATCAGGTTTGGTTCTGTTCGACCCATTTCAGGAAGTCAAACATAAAGAATAAAACTGAGTTTTAAGAAAACGTAGATTTTTTAGAACCCTACAATATTATTCATGTACACTTGATGACTGATTTTGTGTTTATTTTACGCAGTAGCCTTCATTTGAATATTCGAATGTTCGTTCGTTGTTAACCACTGTTGTCATCGTTCTTTGTTAAAATCAGGTCTCGCTTGTAAATGAGTCCTCGGTGCTCAGTGGGATTAACCTGTCTAAATAAAGGTTGAATGAATTAATGAATATATCCTTTTTTTTATTTTTTTTAAATTAAATTTCAACAAGAAAGAAAGATAAAAACTTTTACTTTTATAATAGATTACTAACCTTGAATGAAATAAATTCAGCATGTTTTCAAACTTGTGTAATTGTGCTTAAAATAATCCTAATTAACATTTTGATTGAATAATCCTGGTGGCGTTTTTTATTTTTTTTATTTTAATACAATTGAACAGCTGTAACTCACCTGTGTGTCACCTGTCTCTCCTCAGCAGCAGAGGTGGACGACAGTCAGGACAGCAGCATCATGACGGACGCTGACGACACACAGCTCCACACGGCTGAGAGTGACGATGTCCTTTAGCTCCACCTCTTCTCTTTGCCCTGCCACCCACTTGAGTCCACTCCGCTATGATTTGCAGGAGGAAAGGCGTTGCTAGGCAACTGGCGGGTGAAGAAATGTTGAGTTTAGCTACACCCAGCCCTCCCCCTCATCCTCTGACTGGCTGAAACAGACTGCTGCTGACCTTAAGCCCCGCCCCCTCACCTTCTGACATCACAGCTTTTTTTTTATGTTGTTTTTATTGTTCTCTCAGAAATAAACCAATAAAAACTTGTAAACTCTACCCACTGCTCCGTTTCCTGTGTACCATCAGCACAACAGCTCAGAGATCCTCCCGTCAGGTGTTGCAGCATCGCCTGGAAACTGCAGCTGTTTATTTGTTGCCATAGCAACAACCTTACTGTCAGATTTAATCATTTCGTGTAATTCAATGTGTTTTATGGTGAACCTGAACTAAGAAAACCATTGTCACTTGACTTTCCATTACCAGGTCCTCTTTCCTGGCCTCATTAAGCCCCGCCCCAAGCAAATGGCGCCGTGTCGAGAATAGTGGAATGTACTCTGGGTTCACGTTCTGAAATGAGTATAGGCCAGGCATTGTTTATAGTTGGGCCACCATTTTCACTCGTTTAATTGTGCGCACACACACAAAAAAAATCTTATTTAAAAACTTGTTAGGATTATAAAATTCTGTATGTTAAAATATTTTTGATCTGTTTTAAACACACTCTGATTGTTTACTACTTGCGTGCTGATTAACAAGAATTTACAGTTACCTAAACTGTTGTCAACAAGAGTAATTTATGTACAAATCTGGTTTATTTACCTCCATACAGTATTGAGATTACAGAATACCACTCTTAAGAGAAGCCTTGGAACCTCAGTTCCAATACACTGAAATAAACTGTTTACTGTTTACTTTTGAATGGTTCTGTTTGATGTTAGACACTTCAGGAACTCATGACAATAATTTGGTTGATGGAAAACGGGATCTAGCTCCGATGAATTTATTACCAAAGAGCTGTTAGATGTAAACTTAGCAAATCTCTGCATGAACATTTACAGTGATGAAGACTGCAGTGATGATGAACCTTTAGTCATGAAAACTGCGGTAATGAGCCTTTATATTGATGGAGACTGCAGTGATGATGA